TGTCCGCATCTATTTTTTTTGCTTTAATGAGCAGAACTATTTGTTTAACCTATCAGGAACTTTAGAACTATTAAAAAGGAAAACGGAACTCTAAGCAGTTTGTAAGTTTCCGCAAAGTGAAATGCCAGCTTCACACACACAATTGAAAATCACGGTTTTGCCAACATTTCGCGCATCTTGGAAATTAACGTCGATAAAGGAGCAAGACGAAGTATTGGTTTCCTTGTTAAACGGTCTTGACGGGAGCTATTGTTCTAAAGCTTCATGTCAGGAAATTATAACTTTAGGTCAGAAACGAGAAATGATCGTAGAGGTTACCAATGTTGAATATTGTCTGACGCAAGCATGGAGTGCATCTTCGATTGGAAATTGCATTGGAGAGAGAAACCACATGAAATTAGTTCTCTATACACACACATACGTACATAGGCGCGCGCGCACACATACACAGACACATATATTTACGTTTAATGATTCGCATACACTTTATTATACTCTCGCCGAATAATAAAAATATAACACAGAAGATCTGTGCGTTTGTCAAGATCAAACATCTGTTGGAGGTTCCTTATCGATTATCGTAAACGAATTCATATTCTACCAACGTCGATTAAATCCTAATCTGAATTTAAACACTCTTCAGGCACTCAATGACACTCAAAGACCTAAACTCGGATTAAGATTTGATGTTGGTGGAAATGAGGACGACTTTCTCCAAATCTGATTAATCCTAACTGATGATTAACTGGCAGAGTTAAGCAATTTAACTTATTATTTAATTTAATTTATTTTATAAAATTTAATTTAATTTAATTTAATTTAATTTATTTTATAAAATTTTTAACTCCTCTTCTCTCTATCAATTTTTTCTTTAACTTAACAAGTTTTCTATTTGTAACTCTGCCAGTTGATTATCTGTTAAAATTAAACGGAGAAAGTTATTATAAATTGGAAAGATACATACAAGCAAAAGTAATGAAAAACGAGGTGAATAATCACAATGGAAAATGAACAAGAGATAGTTGTCATAATATAATGGACTCTAATAAATTGGAATAATAAACCGAATATAATCATGTTATCTCAACGAAATATCTTCCAATAATATAATTATAATACTATGTTATAGATAAAAAGGGACGGATATTATCGAAGCCTCTTTTTCTCTCTCCCTCTTTATGCACGTGCATGTGTGTGTGTGTGTGTGTGTGTGTGTGTGTGTGTGTGTGATGTTGATACAGAGAAACAAGAACTGATAATTTATCTAATTAAATGATTGCTTATGAATACTTCTAGTTCTTCATGTGAAACTTAAACGGTATGGAAAATTGGCTATAGAATTGCCACTATCACACACAACTCCCCCGTTTTTCTAAATTTATGATTTCTGTACGAAGTAATGACTGAGTCGATTAAAATAATAGTAGATTAAAAAATAAGGTGATTTTTAAGCTTACCACACGCTAAAACCGATGCACCTACTTCGCCATTTACATCGTCAAAGCAGCCAATATATGGATTAAAAACTGCGCTGCGTAAAGCTAATTATGAAAATTATTATGAACAAGTTTCCAGGATCACTTAGACACAAAGAAGCTAAGGATCAAATTAGTTATCATTCTGTAAGAATTACGAAAGTTAAAACAACATGCGTATTCGTCGTTTCGATATACATGGTGTCTTAGAATAACCCTCGAAGCTTGGAGACATAAAACAAATAGAAGGATGAACATAAAAGTCCTACGTTTTATTTCGATATTCGCAATAATCGAGTCGAGATATTAATTAAAGAATATTGGTGAATAATCATGAGAGATACGGTAGATGAGCGAGGTATGGTAGTGGTGACATCTGCTATTTAATTATTAATTAAAAAAGATTGGCAGATCAATAATATATTAATTAGTTACTAATTATCTTTCATGTTCACTTCGAAGCGTTCTACGTTCCCACAGAAATTGCGGAGGAAAGTCTAGGACACCCTGTATATATATAAGGTTCATAATAAATTACAATTATATTATATATAAATATATAACATTTTATGTTGTTGTGTATGCAAAATTTATCGCTGAAATATTGAATTTTGTACATTAGACGCATACGAAACCTTATGTAACATGTATGAAATATTTAAACATATTTAAACATATTTTGGGATAATTTATTATCGATCGAATCTCACATCGACAGACACGTTGAAGCGCCGGCCAAATGCCAGCTCACATAACGTAGTTTAATGTTATACGACACCTGTGCGCCGTTTCACATTATCCAGCGTGGTAATTCGCGTGTACATGGGCGGTCTTTGATACAAGATACGAGAGATATTTTATGAGACACAAAGGGAAACGTAGAGTCATCAGGAATTTAGGGATGTTCTCGCTTGGAGTTTCTATTCGCGAGTTTGAGTCTTTCCGAATTCACGTCGCGCGAATTTCATCGGCACAATTAACAACAGAGGAAAAAGACAGAGGAGAGGAAGAAGCAATAGGCTGATTCCGCAAATCCGCTGTTGGCATTACTGTTTACGTTGTCAATATATACTGTTTACATTGTTAACGTTATGGCCGCTGTTTACATTGTTAATGCATGGTCCCGTCAGTTGTAAACAATATAAATTTCATCAATCTCAGTCTGCTAATAATTCTATTCCTCGATGTATGACGAAAGCTTTGTCAAGCACGTCTTATGTGGAACAAAAGCGTTTCACTTCGCATCATAAGAAGCGACACAAGAGCATAAAGTTTCTTGAATGGTTAGTTTGCTCCATAGAAGCACGTCGGCATTCATTTTGCAGAGATATGAGCAAGATTTCAGTGAGTATCGAACAGCTACTAGGGAGAATGTATCATTCAACGTGGTCCAGCATCACACGCCGCCCGTCTATACTCGTCACTGGTCAGGCAATGACACAAGCTTCATGTAATTTTCTTCAACTATGCCTACAGAGCTCGTACCATTCCCAGACAGCACAAACTACTAAATGATCTTAAAGACACCCAAAAGATACCCAAAAGGAATAAAGACATCTTCTGGACGTCTTTAAGATATCTTTTAGTAGATTGTGCTGTCTGGGGTCATTTCGTCGCACGCTCACTGGCTTGATTGACCCTTTGGTTTCGAAGTGGCAATCATGATCATTAACTCTAATAGGCCAGGCGGTTTTTCGAGCGACTTTTACAGTCTTTAAACTAGAGAATTGACTCATATATGTCAAAAGATAGAAAATAAAAGATATGAGACCGTCATAGATTGTCAGATTTTAAGAATTAATATCTTCCTCAACTTTCTTCCCTTGGGGTGCTCGGAAAAATCCTCTAAAATGACTGAAACTTCTTTCACTCTACTAATCGAAGACATAGCCTCTTTGTGAGAAACGAATGAGTAAGCATTATATTTTTAATGATTTGTAAACAAAAGTGCTCTGAGCACTTCTTAAATTGGCTCGGACCCTCTGTGGTTATCACTCGGAGGTTAAAATTCGGTATTTATTATTAAATTCTTTAATTAATTTCCTAATGACTATGCAAAACGGTAGGGAACTTCCCCGCTCATTTTAATGCGCTCTTTAATCCGCCTACAAGAGCGTTGGCGCGCGAATTGTCAGGTACCCTGTGTAATTGATTCAGTTCTAGCATTTTAAATAATACTAGTCGTTATTATTAAATTATTTAATTTCCCAGGTACTAGTAAGGCTCTTTTGGTATTTCAGTAAGGGGTACAAGACAAGTAAAAACCGTCGTTGGACCTCAAACGCGATAATTCAATATACAGAGAGAAAGCGCGCGACAAAGTTTTGCCTCGAACTTCAAAAGTTACTGTCCCCATCACGTCAAAATAACATTTTCATCAATTAGGAGCTTCTCCAATTTTACTACCATGAATGCTATACTGGCTCGTCCCACTCACTCTTAATCATCGAAGCGTGGTGTTGCGAAAAACATCGCTTCAGTCGAGAGATGGCTAATGAATTGGAAGGCAGCAAATACAGGGAGATACAGGTTTATACGTAATGGGATTATCGATTGAAATCCGAGGGAAAGCATCGGCGCGTATCGCTTACACATGAAACATCATTATCCTTCTGTGGACTCAAATTATTCGAGTTATATCCATCGTACTTAAATATCATATATGTGCAGCTTATACACACTTTTGTTTTATTCCTACTTTCGTTGTCAATTGAACGATCACGCATTCAAATTAGCGTGATAGCTTATTTATAATAACAATGAGAGTGCGCGGAAAGTGAAGTAGAACTAACTCTGTAGGCACCTCGAGGAACATGTCCTGTCCTAGTAAACACCGAATAACACTTATATAACTGTTAGTTATATCTTTCCACCCGATGAAAAATTTTTCATGCAAAATTTTGTATGAAATTTGTCCATACATAATTATGTATAATTATGTATAATCATATAAAATTATATATAATTATACACAATTATGTATAACAATATGTATAATTACATATAAATTTATGCGTAATTATGTAAAATTATATATGAATTTATATATATAATTATACATAATTATATATAATTATATATAATTATATATATAAGTAGAATGTATGAACATGAATGGACAAATTTGATACATAATAATATATAATTATATATAATTATATATAATTTTATATAATTATATATGACAAATTTTTCATTGGGCACTATGTAACTATTATATAACACACGAATTACATAACAGTTACAATTATTGAATAGAAAATTATAACTAACAGTTATAATTTCCTGTTACTTAACTGTTATAATAACTGTTGCTGGGTGTTTGCTTTCTGACCTGCTGGCAACGTGCACGTGTGCATCTGGCTTCAATACAGTTTGAACTCGTTCTTTTGAATGCAATTCGGAACGCAACAAATGTCCAGTAAGAACACGTAATTTCTGAGAATTATTCAGAAACGAGATTCCTTGTTGAACTATCGGCTGCATTCAGAAGAAGGAAAAAAGAAAATAAAATGTAACTATATATATATTGAAAAAGGAAATAAAACTACATATATTAAAATTAGAGCTCTTATTCTGAACTCTTTTTAACCGATAAGTGTCTCTAAATGTTCGAATTATAAATCTTCTAATTGGCTTTTGGATTTTTGTCGATAAAAGAGACTTCAGAATAAGAAGTCAAATGTATATATCTACATATAGATATATGTAGATAGGAAGCGGAGGAACACTGGACCACGCGCCGAGAAATAATTGTCTCGTTTTAAAATTTTTCTTTTTGAAGCGTTATGATATGAAAATGATATAAAACTATTTCATTCCCATATCATCTTGAGGTAGATAGCGCGTTTTTTTTTAATAGCGTTTTTTAATACTTAGTCCACTCTCATTATTCAACGCAAAACACGTTCAATGCGCTGTCCTCCCTTCTCTATGCAGAATTCGGCTCTTCGGATGATATTACGCGTCGCGAAATGCGCCATTTCCGGCGTAATGCTGTCGAAGGCCGCGAGAATTGCTTGACGCATCTCATGTTCCTTATCGTCACGCCGGTGTTCAATTAAATTTTTCACATAGCCCCATATAAAATCATGCACGCTAAGGTCCGGCGAGCACGCTGGCCAAGAGATCGGACCACCTTGAGCCATCCACCTTTCTGGATAACGCGCGTTCAAGATATCGCGTACTTCACGGCAAAAGTGCACCGGGCTCCCGTCATGTTGAAAAATCAGCCTCGCCCGTATACAAAGAGGGACGTCTGCGAGCAGCACTGGCAGCTGATTTTCAATGAAGTCCGCGTATACCTTCCCATTAAGATGTGACGGGAAAAAGCACGGGCCGATCTGAAAATTGTCGAGCGGGAGCGTTTGTAAAACCAAACACCACAAGTGTCTAAAATTCGTTCTAAGAAAACGTCTTAAACTAGTAGGATGTGTCTTTTAAGCATATTAATAGTTGTTACTTGAAGCCTGCCTCAAGTAAAATATTCAGAGTCAGATCCAACTTCTTTCGGTTGAATTACAATAAATGTGATATCAATATCTGTAGTCATGATTCAATTGAAAATCTCTCATCTAACTCTGATCTGTATTAATAGTCGTCGTTTGAAACTTGCTTCAAGTAAGACACTCAAATTTTAATTTAGAGTTTTTCTAAGCTGAATCGCGATTACAAATATGATGTCATATGTATTATATAATTCAAATAAAAAACTCTCAGCTAACTTTAAATTCAGATTTGAATATTTAAAATAAGTTTCAAGTAACGACTATTAATACTCTGAGTTTAAGTCTGAGTATCTCACTTGAGACTAGTTTCAATGACTATTAATACGGACCTTAGACGCCCCTAAAGTCTGTGTTAATAGTCATATCACCTGAAATTGTCTCATATGAGACATTCAAATCTTTATTCAGAGTGAAATTCAGTTGTTTCAGTCAAATTATTCGATATACGTGACATTTGAAGTCTGCAATCACGACTGAAAAAATCGCGAAGGACTCTCATCAAACTCTGGCTTTAGTTTGAGCATCACACTTGAAACGAATTACAAGTAATAATTATTAATATAAGTCTAAAATGTCTCTGAGACAGTTATGCTGTGTGGGGACATAGTCGCGAGAGAAAAGTCGCTTAACTCACACGAATCACACTCGAGTCACACTCACCACTCGGTTCGCAACTATTCCCGCCCACACGTTAATCGACCAACGATACTGGAATGTGCCGTCATGAACGATGTGCGGATTTTCTCCTCGCCAGTATAAAAAATTACGGGAATTAAACACGCCGTTCGGCGTGAAAGTAACTTCGTCCGTCCACAGGATGTAATCGGGGAACGACAAGTCCCTCCGGCACTGCGCGAGGAACCCTGCGCGAGATCGGTTTCGCCGATCAGGTTAGTTTGTACACTCGCGAAAGAATAGAGAGGGTATATTCCGAAATCGGTTTCAGAAACTGTGCTTTAAGTTATGTAAGGTTGGTAGAACCTTAAACTAACTCGGATACGTTCCGTAATCGATCAGCTAATTCACGCGATCGACTTTACAATCGGGGAATTCGACAAGATTCGACAGCTGTTATAATTAGTAGGAGACAATTTTATAAACAGAAATAGCTTTGTGAAACTAATCGCGTGAATCAGCTAATCATTTGCGGAACGTATTTAAGATATTCCAATATTCACCGCTAATACTGAAAATCTATGATATACGTAACATAAACTAGATTTTCAGTATTGGCAGTGAATATCAGAACGCAGCTTAAGTTAGCTTAAGGCAGCTTAAGGCCTACCAGCCTCATAACTAAAATCAAAATTTCCGAAATCGAGTCCGAAATTTATATGTATAGAATCTTCACGAGTGTACACTCGTGGACAGAAAGATTGTATTTTAGCGTAATTTTTTGTGTGAGTTTCGGAACATATATATTTTGCTCATAAGTAAACCTACCCAAAAGGTACACTCCAATTTCCTTCTAATTTGGCACAAATGTAGAAGTACAAAAAATATTTAGATCATATTTTTTCACTTTGGCTTACTTTGAGTTTCACAGGTAGCTTTTTAATATTCTCATTTCTATCATCAACAAGTGCAACAAAAATGCATAAAAAATAAAATTGATACAAGATATAGTTAAATAATTTTAACAAAATTGGCATAGCTAAGACACGAACCATTCTAAATTTCTTTAGCCAAGATTCCAACCGCAATATTTCAAATCTGTGCTGAATTAGTCAAAAATGGTCCAAATCTCGGCCAAACCGAGAGAAATCCGGCAATTTTAATTAAAATTTTAACAAAACTGGTATAGCTGAGACACGAACCATTCTAAATTTCTTTAGCCGAGATTCTAACCGCAATATTTCAAATCTGTGCTGAATTAGTCAAAAATGGTCCAAATCTCGGCCAAACCGAGAGAAATCCGGCAATTTTAATTAAAATTTTAACAAAACTGGTATAGCTGAGACACGAACCATTCTAAATTTCTTTAGCCGAGATTCTAACCGCAATATTTCAAATCTGTGCTGAATTAGTCAAAAATGGTCCAAATCTCGGCCAAACCGAGAGAAATCCGGCAATTTTAATTAAAATTTTAACAAAACTGGTATAGCTGAGACACGAACCATTCTAAATTTCTTTAGCCGAGATTCTAACCGCAATATTTCAAATCTGTGCTGAATTAGTCGAAAATGGTTTGAATCTTGGCTAAACCGAGAAATTATTCGTGTAAATAATTTTTTTCAATTTTTACATATTTTGTTTAAACATTTAATTATTTATACAAATAATTTTACTCATCTGACTTCATATTCATAATCAGCAAACCAAAAACGCCTGTATCTTATATTCAATTTTATTTCTTATGTATTTTTATTGCACTTGTTGATGATAGCAGTGAGAACATTAAAAAGCTATAAACTGTCCATGAAACTCAAAATGAAAAAATATGATCTAAATATTTTTTGTACTTCTACATTTGTCCCAAATTAGAAAGAAATCGGAGTGTAATTTTTGGGTAGGTTTACTTGTCAGTGAAAAGATTCTCATGTTAGAAAGCAAATTCTCCCATTGAACAAGCCAAACAAAACTCACCGTAGCGTGTATGTCCACGAGTGTACGTACAGTCGCGGGCATAAAAAAGTTGACACACTTTTTCTTTCAATACATCTCAAGTTACAAATGATATCCTATAAAAAAATCTATTTCTCGAGAATTTCTCAGAAAACGAAATGTTAGATCTCTCGTGATATTCAATCACAAGTTAAAATAAAGAAAAACTCTGGCGAGTAAAGGACGTCGCAAGATTCCAGGCATAATTTTTAAAAAGAGAGGATATAATGATTGTTTCACAAAAAAAAAACAAATTCTGTTTGGTTAAAGTCAAAAAAGGATAAAAGTCACGCAGGTAGCGATTAATCAATTTTTGTTACAGGAAAATAATAATATCGACAAAGTGTAGCACATATCGATATATTTTCCAAGTCTTCACACGTGCGGAGCATTTTTTCCTAACATCGAATTGTTACACGCAGGCAAAATAGATAATCACAATGTCGTCAAAATGACTATAAAAATTCATTTCATAAATTGATAATATTTTTATTATTTTAATATCATCATCGATCATGATTTGATAATATTTTTATTATTTTAACATCATCTTAATTTTATATCTTGCCTGTGGGTTCCGAAGTGCATCGAGAAAAAAGTGCGTCAACCTTCACGGTCATTTAATTGTAGGAGAGACCGAGTTTAGAAGTCACACCGGTCATCTTTGACAGAGCTTGTGACTCATTTAAGAAATAGAGGGATAGAAAAATTACATTTTTGTGAATAATGTAGGGGTTGCTTGTATCACGCAGTGTTAAGTATTGATCGACTAAAATTCTCTTTGATCGAAATTATCGGCAAATTAATAATCAAAAATAATGAATCATCACATACGCCAATCACGAATAAATTTAATTGATTGATGAAACCAATTATTAATAAATGTATAATCAATCACATTACATTTTGATCAATAATTAACTTTACCAATCGATGAAATTATTTGTGATTTTATATACGACAATTGATTATTGATTTGCTGATGATTTCAATCAGAGGAAATTTCAATTTCAATCAGAGAAAATCAGGCAGACGGTCATATTCGCACGAATTTGCTTGCAACTGAAATAACTTTCTTGCGCACGAACACATACATGGAAAAAATGCTGCTGTATCAATAGAAATTGCCAACGTCGCCGTTGGAGTAAATTTTCTTTATTCAACCAATACTATTGAAACCAGTATACCATGTATTGTTTCGACGACTCAGGTATCAGTTTGAATGGCATTGCTGTTGAATCAAGAAGATTTGCTCCAATTACGGCGATGTTGGCAATTCTGGTCAATACAACAGCACTTTTTTCCCATGTATAAGGACAGCAGTTCTTTCTTTCATCTAGGGGACGCAGCTGCAGTTAAAATGTGCACAACACATCGCACACATCTCTTTAATCAGTGTGCGAAAAGCGCGACAGCCAGACGCGGTCTCTCCTACGCTCCGAGTAGCGCGAACGTCCAAACGCCACGCCACGCACACAACGCGAGTCATACCTTCGCAAAATTGGACGCGCTCTCCCAGATCTGCCGCGAGAAGCTGCTGATGAGGGTCTAGATGTTGCTGAGGGTGCAGACCGTTCCCGGGCGAGGTGCAGCGCACCGCGCACCGCGACGGATCGTACAAATCTGCCGTGGGGCTCGCTCTAGCCCCGGGGTTCTCATCAGGTGCCATATTCTCCTCCTTAACGCGACTACGTAGTCCGTAGGCCCGAGGTGGCACGACGTATCCAGTGTCCCTCGCGCGCTGCACGCAGCTCACGATCACATATCGCGTCGGGTATCGCTCTCGTCCGGGGAATCGCTCCGCGTACATGCGAGCCGCGGCGTGAGCGTTTTCTCCCGCCATGCCGTACGTGATTATCATGTCAGTGTACTCGATCGAAGAGAATCGCTTTTGCATCGTCACGGAGTCGTCGGGGAACACCGAGTGAACGCGGGAGCTCCTGGTGCAGCGCGAGCGTGCACGTCGGATCTAGGCCGAAACAATCGACTCTCGGTGATAGCGGGCGTAAGACAAACAAACAGTCACTGGCCAGCTCGACGAGCACCTTGGGCTCGCCAACGTGCGCCGCGCGACTCGTTGTACACCCGGTCTCTCGCGGTACACGATGCATCGTATCTCGCGCGAGAACGGATGCCAGGCCCTGGCCGCGTCGTCGGCGCGCTCAACAGGCACCCGCGGCAAGTTCCGGACGGTATGTCCGCTTTCCTGCGGCTATTTACCGTCGTCGCCGTTCGACATTCGCGGTGCATTTAGTGCACCCATCGGCGAGACGCGCGCAGGATCCGCCGCGCAGCGTAGGCGGGATTTATCCTTCCCCGATCGCGTTCCCGCGGACAGGACGAGGTCACCTGACCGCCGAATGGCGGCGCGGCTTAATTGTCAGAACTTTTTGCACACGTGAGATGAGAATCCGCGGCATCATTCGCGAGGGGTCGTTCTATTTCGGTCGGTCGAGCGGCGCGTGTGAGCAAATATAATCGCGAGTTGAGCAGCGGAGTCTGGCTGCGCGGGGAAAAAGGCTCGACTGTATTGAGGCTCCTGGATATCCGCCGCGGCTATCCTTGCTCGATGACGTCAGAAGCGAGAAATCGCATGCTCGATTCTCGCGTTATATACGTTGAAACAATTAAATATAACCGCATGTAAGAACACTTATAGTCGATTCAGCAAATTTGTAAAATGCTCCGAGAGAACACACACACTCTCTCTCTACTGTCACAATCAATAAATGGTCATAAAATTAACAACAAATATGAGAAGAGTTTAGTTAAAACCTGAGTTGCATGTCACACTAATTTTACAACTATTTAACAGCAGAAGGAGAGTGTTCGGAGCATTTTACAAATTTGCTGAATTAGGATTTTCTTTTTATTTCAATAAAAGCAATCATAAGTATGCGGGAATCATAGGCATGCGATTTCTCGCTTCGCATGTTCAAACAAGGACAACCTAGTACACAGGAGCCTTAACGTCAGTGCTGGCAATTTGGGAAAATTTTCTCCCGACCGAAAACCTTCTACGTATACGCAGAGTGACGTAGCAGCCTCATAGAGGGTTCATACTATGAACCCTTTATCTACGCCTAAAATCGTCATTGCAAGTTGTTTACATCAGGCTGCTACGTCACTCTGTGTGTGCATAAAAGGTTTCCGGTCGGGAGAAAATTCTCCCAGCACTGCCAACACTACTCAACGTGAATCCAGTAAACACCGAGCGACAGTAACGTTACGTCGATAGATATGTTCAAAATGTTACAACCGTTGAGTGATAATAATAATTTCACTTTTTACGACGAAGCTCTTGCGACGTATCGATGAAGTTAGACGACTATAGCTACGTTCGGGGAGACGCTATTTAGCGCTATGAGCGTCCTCTGTCCTCAACTTTCAGGAACAATAGCTGCGTTCGGCATTGTAAATCGAAGACGTCGGATTGCTCTTTCATCTCGAAGATGCAGAGAAATGAAAAAGATACGAGATCTCTCTCACTTCTGTTTACACTCTCTCACTTCGATTTACAATGCCGAACGCAGCTAAACAAGGACAGAGCACACTCATAGCGCTAAATAGCGTCTCCCCGAACGCAGCCTATAAGTGACGCGAACATGTTTCGCGCCAAGTGCGCGCACGAAGCGACGCACAAGTCGTGACCCAAGTAGAACAGGTTGCTTATTGGTTAACGTTCTTGAAGTTAACTTTTGCAACGTATCTATAAGATAACAAGTCAATGTCAATAATTCGTCTCCATTAATATGACATTGATTAAATAACAGTTTATAATTGGTTAATAGCTAGTTCATTTACGCATCTTACAGTTATCATTTGGTATATATTTAATTTGTATCCAACTTGATACTTTTATATCTAAATGATATCTTTTTGGATATTAAAAGTTATCTTTCGGGCGGTCATTAGATAACCTTTTCAGTAAACAGAAACTTAACTTTTTTACCGAAAATAAAGTTATCCTGACCTAATTTTATATAGTAAAATGGAATACTTTAAGATAACGTTGTTCTACTTGGGAAGGTCAGCTGTACACCTAACTGTGCGCGAGCAAGATATTAGATTTGCATTCCAAAACGTTCTTCTTGAGAAAATTCTACTCGATACTCTGTAGAATATGTAACGTGTAAATATTGAGTAAAATTTACTTTACTCAAAAAGGACGCAATCTAAGTACACAAATCGATTCTTTTAATTTTTGCGCGTTTCTAAGTAAAATTTGAAATTTAAATATTTTTCACACTATTGCAGATATTAAGTGTTACTAATAGCATTCACGAAGCATCCAGAAAATGTTTATTGATAACGTTTACCCGTAACGGATTACGTGTACCTACATTTCCTAATTTTGTCACGTTGATCATTATTCTGTTACACGAAACATAATCTGGATTTATTATAGAGTCGTCCTTAAATTTTGCAAATATTATCTGTTGCAATGGAAGGAAAAGAAATTTGAGAAGTGAATTCCAAGTACCTGGCGCGTGATATATTGGCGTTTGAGATGACCAGAAGCGCTAAATAAATAATGCTTTAATAATAACTTTCTATACAAATATCGAGACACAAAAAAGCAGGGTCGTATTAAATGAAAAATATATTGAGAAATGAGATACTCTCACGACGCGTAAGAACAATTTTATTTAATTCATACGCTATGATAAATTTAAGAATTACTCTTTCATGCTCTGATCTTCCTCCTATAATTAATGTATTTAGAAGCTCATATGCACGCTGGAGAGCGACTTTCACTCAGAAATATCGATACTGACGAAACAAATGTTATCTCCAATGATTTCCTGCGAATTTCTGCTTACGATAGTGAGGGGAACGTATACCATACACAAACGAACGTGGCAAGAGTATATTATATTTTGTCCTTTTAATCGTTACCATACGAACCGTTACTTACAAATCAAACTGTGATTGTGGTTGTATCTGTCGGCCTGCGTGTGTCTCTCGTGTAATGTGGTGTGTACGTGTACGTTTCTTTTTCGCGTGAGATACGTCTCTTTACGAAAGTACGTTTATCGTCTAGCATTTCTTAGCGGTACTATTAGACGCCATCGTTATCGATTACATACCTACTTTGATACAGGAAGGCGCTATGCGGTAGTAAATAATACAATAATGTAACATTAATTAAATACATGAGCGTAATAGATCCGGCACTTGGGTGAGAAAACAATTACATATATTGATATCCGTTTACACGCATACTTAGTCGCGCGAATGCGAGCGCGACACACACACATACATACATACATACATACATGCACACAATATACTTATTTTTTTCAACTTTGTAATCGTTCTACGAACTTGCAGGTTTACGAGACGTTCTGTAAAATCGAACGCACGCTTCACCGATAAAAATACATCTGTAAATAATACAGAGAACTTTTTCTCATTCTTTGTATTATTTAAAATTTATATATATCTATATATATATATATATATATATATATATATATATATATATATATATATATATATATATATATATATATATATATATA